TCATCTATCATAATACTTCCCGCCAATCAACAGCCGTCTTTCAGGGCACGGTATCTTTTAGACGAGCTTGAATTTCTTTGCAAACGCAGCGGATATGAATTTGAAACTATATGGACCCCTACTTTGGTAACATTCGTTGGCAGGACTCTAATCGAGTCGATACATCCAGCACTTGGGTCCTTACATGCGTGTTCTGTCATCCGGAAGATTAGAATCCTCGTTTGCGTGGCTGGTCCTGTCATGCTTCAAGAATACCCCTATGAAATGATGACCCACGCCCTTCAACCCTTCCTCACCGATATCTACTGCTCAGAGGATGCTTTGGGGATTTTCTGGTACCTTCTTGAGATTGGAGAACCTTATATGACTGAGAATCCATGCTTCGTGGCCGAAGTTGCCGTCAGCACCTTCGCATCCTTGAAAAAGTTCCTAGAATCATTTCCAGACAATACAGCACAGGAAAACCAATTCAGAATAGCTCTGACAAAGATTCGGGAATTCCTAAAATGGTTCGTTGGATTTCTGGACGGATACAGTTCACCTGCCCTAGACACAGAAAGGAAAGAGGCATTCGGACGACTGTTGAAGTCTTCACAGCATATTGCCAATAGCAGGGCTTCCACAAACGGCGCAAGGGAACATGAGCTGCTACTTGAAATCCTTAGAGATCAAAATGCTGGACAAAGCCTGCTAAGCAAGCCAATATCCGATCATGTAGTTTCCCTGCTTTGTGCTGACTCAAAAGTGCTGCCTGATTATCGCACTGCCATCATCGGTAACGCCAATGACCCTGTCGCAAGTACAACTGCGATATATAAGACGCTTCAGAACTTCAAGCCAGGGCCTGAATACCGTCTGTGGGCTGCGAGAGTCATTGGGGGAGCTTTTGCATCTACAGGGAAAATCAGTGATGTGCTTTCGAGAGAGCAGGACCCTTCCCTATTTGACATACACGAACTGCCATTAATGGATGACTGGTGCATTTCGAAGGCTAGGATAATACGGGTGCTTTGCAACATGCTACAAAGTAGCAGCCATCTCGAAGTTGGCCTTGTCGAACGGACGTTGCAGCTGATTGTGAGCAGCATTCAAGCAACCCAGGAATTCAACGGGTGTGCAGCCGTGATACCACTGTCTTTGATGAATTCCCTCATCTGGAGCCCCTATCAATGTCCTGCCCTACCGCCGCTCTCGACCTTTGAAGAGAATTGGTCGGAACAGCAGACAAGTCGGCTTGAGATATCAACTGACGGTTTTGCTCGACAAATTGCACTATTTTTGTCGAAATCTGCTCCACGAAACCCTGTGATTGGACCACTCCAGAAGGTTCTCAATGCGATACCTTGCTTAGCAGCTCAGCTATTGCCGTTCATTATCCATGATATTTTGCTGTCGGAGTTCCATGGGGAAGCAAGGGTCCGTGACAGTTTGTCAAACATTTTCAAAGAAGCCTTATACGGAGTTGAAAACAACACGATCCCGCATGTACGACTCGTCATTGATTGTCTTCTCTATCTTCGGGACCAACCACGGCCTCGCGAAACTAAGATCGTGGACCGTGACGAGTGGCTTGACATCGACTATGGAGAAGCATCGGCAGCTGCGAACAAATGCCATTTGCCCAAGACATCACTACTATTCCTCGAGATCCATGCGTCCCGGGTATTGACTAGTGCTCGCCGTTCCTCGCATGCAAAATACGAGCCTCCATCAGACCTTCTGCATGACATCTTCAAGGATATAGATGACCCAGATCTTTATTACGGCATTCAAAAGAAGGCTTCGTTGGACTCGGTGATGGAGACCCTTGAATACAAGAGCTCAAGTTTCAAGAACCTCCTTTTCCAAAGCGCGCAATATGATAGCGAGATTCAAATGGGAGACGGATCCAGCAGATATGGTATTCTCAAGGCTCTTAACTCTACTAACCTCCAAGGAATCGCCAATACCATGATCTCTGTCCTCGGGGATACGAAGGATGTGTCAGGGTCTTTCGATAGCATGTTGCAGTCTGCAACAAGCCTACGGCAGTGGGATATTCCTGTTTCACCCGTCAACTTCTCACCTGCGGCGACGGTTTTCAGAGTTTTTCAGAGTCTCAACACTTCGGAAGCCTTACCTGAAGTTTCTCTGTGTCTGGATGACTGTCTTTTGTCTACATTGGATTCGTTAACAAGAACAGATCGGTCTGCCACGTCTCTCAGAATGGCGACAAGAGTTTTAGGCATTCTTACAGAGGTAAATGATGTCGTGAGCGCTAGGTCTATCGAAGAGGTAAACCAAGGATCACTAGACGTAATGACCAGAAATTCCTGGCTGAAGACCACGAGGTAGGCGCTTCACGGTCAAAGCTTTTATGGCAGATACTAACTTAAGATAGCGTGCACGAGATAGGAGAGATATTGAGCTATCATGAAACACTGTTCTCGTCAATAAAGCAGAAAAATTACCTGAAGTCTGCCATGAATTTAAGAGATGACGATGCACAGCTGCTAGAGGTAAAGGTGATTAGACGGTCACTTGAAATTGCAAGGAACCACGAAATGCCTCAAGCCTCGCTGAAGTCGGCTATATGTCTTTCAAAGCTCGCACAAGCATGTTCCTCGAAAGGTATCAACATAGAAGGAGCGGCCAAATTTGACCTGGCAAACGTTCTATGGGACCAAGGCGAGATGACTACATCTATTCGAATGCTACAGCAGCTGAGTGGTCAGAAACATCTTCATAAGCAGGCAGTTCCCATTAGCCGTGCAGAACTTCTCGTTACACTGGTGAGCTACTTCTCCGATGATGTTTCGCGTCAAAGGCTAACGTACTTCATAGGGTCACCACGTTGCTGAAGCCCGCTTGGAAGTGCCAGAGGTCATCATTCAAGAGTATTTGGACCCTGCGGTGAAGGAGTTAAAGGACCGCTCCGAAGGGGAAGACGCCGGTCGAGTGTACCATGGATTTGCCATGTTCTGCGATCAACAGCTACAGAACCCGGATGGCTTGGAAGACTTCAACCGAGTTGAACAAATCCGTAACCGTAAGGAGCGAGAGCTCGACGCCCTAGAGAGCTTGCTAGAGAAAGCGCAAGGGAGAGAACGGGAGAATCTCAAAAACCATCGGGCGAAAGCTAAGCAATGGTTTGACCTTGACGACATGGAATATCAACGTCATCTGAAGAGCCGAGAAGCTTTCATGCAGCAGTGCCTCGAAAATTACCTCCTTTGCTTGAGGGAAAGTGAAACACACAATAATGACATACTTCGATTTTGTGCGCTCTGGCTCGATAACTCAGACAGCAAGATCGCAAATCAGGCTGTCTCTCAATATCTCAACGAAGTGCCAAGTCGCAAATTTGCGCCGTTGATGAATCAGTTGACTTCGCGTCTGCTTGATATCACGGATGTCTTCCAAAACTTACTTACCAAGCTTATCTATCGCATCTGTGCCGAGCATCCTTACCACGGAATGTATCAGATCTTTGCCAGCAGCAAATCCAAGGGCGGAAAGGACGAGGTGAGCCTGTCGCGACATCGGGCTGCTGTCAGATTAGTGGATAGCCTGAAGAGCGATAAAAGAATAGGGTCAACCTGGGTTGCCATTCACAACCACAATATCGATTATGTGCGATTTGCGATAGACCGGGTGAACGAGAGATACAAGAGTGGTGCGAAGATACCGCTCAGGAAATTGCCCACTGGCCAACGTCTTGAAGACGATGCTGCGTTGCAAAAGCTTCCACCTCCTACGATGAACATTGATCTCCGAGTGGATGGTGACTATACAAACGTCCCTAAGTTAGCCAAGTTTCTCCCTGAGTTTACGCTTGCTTCTGGCGTTAGCGCGCCTAAGATTGTCACGGCTATTGCAACGGACGGGTTGAGATACAAGCAACTGTTCAAAGGAGGGAATGATGATCTCCGTCAAGACGCGATAATGGAGCAAGTGTTCGGGCAAGTTAGCAGTCTGCTCAAGGACCATCGAGCCACACGGCAGCGGAATCTGGTCATTCGAACATACAAGGTTCTTCCGTTGACTTCCAATGCGGGGATCATCGAATTTGTGCCAAATACAATTCCATTGCATGACTATATATTGCCAGCACACCAGAGATATTACCCCAAGGACATGAAGCCAAGCACTTGCCGAAAGCACATTTCCGACGTCCAGACACGTAACAACGAGACTCGAGTCCGAACCTACAATCAGGTAGCCGAATCTTTCCGACCCGTCATGCGGTACTTCTTCATGGAGAAATATAACAACCCCGATGACTGGTTCGACAAGAGACTCGCGTATACGCGAAGCACAGCAGCCATTTCAATCCTCGGACATGTTCTTGGGCTTGGTGATCGACATGGTCATAATATCTTGATGGACGAGCAAACTGGAGAAGTGGTACACATTGACCTTGGAGTAGCTTTCGAGCAAGGCCGCATTCTCCCCATTCCCGAAGTTGTTCCCTTCCGATTGACCCGAGACCTCGTTGATGGAATGGGTATTACTAAGACCGAAGGTGTCTTCCGTCGATGCTGCGAGTTCACCCTTGAGACTCTCCGGCAGGAATCCTACAGTATCATGACAATTCTCGATGTCCTCAGATACGATCCACTTTACAGTTGGTCGTTATCTCCCCTGCGGATGAAGAAGATGCAAGACCAACAAGAGGCGGGTGATGCTCCGCAGCTACTTGGAGCAGGTGACCAACGGGCAGACAATGAGCCTAGTGAAGCAGATCGGGCGTTGAAGGTTGTTGAGAAGAAACTAAGCAAGACGTTGAGTGTTACGGCCACTGTCAACGAATTGATTCAGCAAGCAACTGATGAGAAAAATCTTGCTGTCTTATATTCTGGTATGATTCAACCATTTCTTTCTTTACATTTGGTTCACGTTGCTTACTATTTACATTACAGGCTGGGCTGCATATGCATAGTTAGTACGATATTGTGTTTTTCTTGAAGTTCGCCAAATGAGTTGGAGCTTCGGGTGGGAAAAAATGTAAATATGTGGTACGAAGAAGTGTATATTTAAGAATGAAAGCATGCTATATATTCTTAACGGTCCTGTGCATTTGCACATCATCAAGGCATTGGAGGATATTATTAGGCTAATGTTTCTCCAAAGTGTCGAACCCAGACTCAAAAAGGTTCGCCTTCTGCTTGGAGGCAACAGGCACCTGGCCCCATCCGTTACCCACATGCTGAACAAGTTTAGACGAGTTAACAGTTGACTATTCAACGAGCCCGCCGCCGTTAGGATTTCTCACTTTGATGGAATTCGCCCAGTACCCGTTCATCTTCCTAGAAATAACAGTCATCCCTGGCCCAAGGCTTATTGGTGGCATATAGATTATTCAACACATAGCTGGCCTCAAGACTCATGTGCAGCACCGGAGGATTGCACCGGAGGAGCATGGTCCCGGAAGTAATTGTTGACCGGGGACGAACGCGCGGTGGTCCAGAGTTGAAACCAGAAGTATGTTCCAACCCAGCGTGGTGTAGGCCTCAGCCAGACTCGTGCACAGTGGATCGCCAGGATCCCGGACACCACTCTCAATGACAGTCCCAGTAATGAGTCCCCTGGTCAGGTTACTGTCGAGAATATGTTGTGCGGCAGCAGAGCCAGCTGACTGGCCCATGGCGGTGATACGAGACGGATTTCCGCCGAAGGCATCGATGTTGTCATGAATCCACTTCAGGCCGCAAATTGGTCCAGCATGCCCCAGTTACCTGAATTGTTTGAGCCCGCCACCTTCTTGAATTCAGCAGACAACTCGGGGTGAGAGAGCCAGCCAATGGACCAGTGCAGTAGTTATAGGTTGACGAAGACGATGCCCTGATCCACCATACCACCCCCTGTCGAACAGCGTATCTGCCACAGTCGACATGGCCGGATAACTCCACATAATGACAGGAAGCTTTGCACCGGTATAATTGGAAGGAGAGGGGGGGGAGGGCTCCATATGTTCAGGTTCAGACAGTCCTCATCGATCGTGTTATTGTCGCTAGATGTTGCAGAAGGATAGACATTGCCCCAGTTGCGCGCTTCTAAATCCTTCTAGGTTACTGTTCCACGCGCTAGCAAGCTGCGGTGCTTTCCATCGGTTTTGACCACCAGCCGTGGCGGCAAAGGGGATACCTGTGACGGCCTGGTCACGTTGTCTGGCTATCACGTAAGATGCAGTTGTTTGCTTTGTTGATAAATACGGCGTCACCTCCTTTCTTCCTTCCTCATGTTGATTATTCTCGTCGATAGCTACCTAGGTAGAACCCATGAGTTGGATGTTCCATTATCCTAGTAGAGCGCCGTGACAACACCCTTCCAGACAATTATTTTCTTCCAGTGACTAAGTGCTGACTTCCATATATGCCGAATAATTGATAATGCTCACTGCTTCAACTGCCAAATCAGAGCCTGAATATCCTGCCTATCTGTACGGCTTACGGCTGCTTGAGCATATGCATGAACGGATACGACTATGATGATAAGACTGGGGACTACGGCTATGCAGCCAGCATCCTTTGACAATGACCACCGCATGCATGCGTTATGCGCTTTGCGCTCCTTTTTTCTCTTCGAACTTCTTTCACAAAGACCTTCCCTTTTGCGCTTAGTTGACGGCCTTCAGGTTGTGTATAAAAAGGGCCGTACAGTAGATAGATATCTAGAACTAAAGTTCTTCCTCTATTCGTTCTGAATAGTGCCTATGACATCCTTCCGAGCATAATAGTTGACAGTAAGGTTGCCGGTGTTGGTGCTGTTGAAGGCCGAATAGCCCTGGACTGCGTCATATTTGGTCTGGATGATGGTGACAGAGAGCTGCTGAGATGACTGGCGCTAGGCCGCGTTCCAAAGCTTGAAGTAAGATGTTGTGATGCATAATGAACAAGAGCAGCTGGGAACGAACAATGCATGGTGACTGGCCGTGAATGGGCGGTGATGCTTTTATAATACAGCAGCCCTTACATATAGCCACCAGTTTTATTGATTACGAATACTCACTATAGCAATTAATGAAACCTTCTTGGTATCAGACTATGCTCCTTCTATATGATTCACCCGTAACAACTGCTTCATACTGCGGCTTCGGATATAACCCGGTGTTCAAGTAATGGCATGGCCAGTTCATGAGTTGGGCTTTCGGGGGAGTTCGTGACGGAGCAGGTTAAAGCCCTTTGGCCGAACAAGAGAGCTAGTTAGCTCTTCTCCATATATTTCTTGTCACTGTCACTGATATATATAGCTATGTCGTACACACTCGATCCTCATTCGCAAATACCCTGTCCAGCGTATGTCCGCATTGGAGAGATGACCCGGACCTCTTTCTACGCTCAGATGGCAAGCGTCAATTAGGACTTGTTATGCGGCCTAGTTGGAGTCAGTCCTGGGTCCAATTGATGAACAACATGAAACTATGGTTTCTCAGCGGCAATGAAGATGTGCGCGCAATTCTTCTACTGAAATGGAAGAAGCTTGATTCGAAAAACAGAGTCGCAGGAGACAAGTAGCTATACGGCATGGACGCTTATTGGGATGCCTGCTTTCACGCAATCAGAGGTAATTCTCAAATTATCCCTCTACCAAAACCAGTGCTAATAGATGCAGATGATCTTTCCCGTCCCATCAGGTCAAGGTTCTCAGCATATCTCCCTATCTCGCTTGCTAATATCTGGCTCCTATGCCTCAGATGCGAATTCAAATGATATGCTTAGTCTGGACATCGATGATTTACGACAAGTAGCCACACATGCCCTAATATCTATAGGCCGTGTTCCAGCTTGAACATATATATCATATCCGAGTTACACAGGGAAATTTAGCTAGTAATCAAATAAGAAATGGATAGAGCTCGCTTTGAAGCTATGTTCAATACAATAATAAAGGTTGTCCTACATTCTATGGAAAATTGCTTGATTTGACGTTGTTCAAGCAGGCTTCTTGTACGGATGTATATTGCTTAGTCATCACCTTTAATGCCAAACGTCTCCTTCAATCCATCCTGTCCTCTGCCAACGCCATATGCCAACATTAAAGCCAGAAAACAGAATGACTACACATAATAAAGGCATTGTAATCCTTTCTGGAGGTAGCGCAGCAAACAATCTTGTGGATGTCTTCAATGCGGTGCGCGAGAGCAAGGACTGTTTATTGAGCTATATCATCCCTATCAGTGACAACGGAGGCTCATCATCTGAATTGATCCGAATTTTCGGGGGGCCTGGAATTGGCGATGTGCGAAGTAAGCTGGATATTTTGTATTTACGGCTCTTTCTATACTGACAAAGAAAGGTCGACTCGTCCGATTAATCCCAGAGTCACCCCCGGATTCAGAACGGGCAGCCGTCCGGACTCTATTCAACCATAGACTTTCAGCAGATGCAGTGGAAGCCCAGAGGGGCTGGTATTCAATAGTAGAGGGCACCTCCGATTTATGGAGGCGCATCACACCTGCAAAGAAAGAGCTCATCCGCTCCTTTTTCAACATGCTAAATCTCGAGATCCTGAAACGTGCTCGGCCACCAGCGTCGACTTTCGACTTCACCTCAGCCAGCGTGGGCAACTTATTCCTAACCGGTGCTCGTCTATTTAGTGGCAGCTTTGAAAGTGCCATTTACCTTCTGGGTAATATTTGCAGTGTACCAGAGACTGTTCGCGTGATCCCCGCCATTAACTCGAACTTCTCCCATCACATCTCAGCATCCCTCGCCAATGGGACTATGATTGTGGGACAAAACAGCATCTCCCACCCTAGCGAGGCGACGGCTCTGCAGCCGAAACCTGGCTCCCGCCGTCCCAGTCTCCTTCTAGCTGACGGCGATGGCGATGATAGTCTCGAAGCCACGGAACCCTCAGACGCGGCTGATGCAGTCTCGTACGAAGATGACCAGCTCCCTGGCTCCCTGCCCACTTTACGAAACAAAAACATCCAATTTAGCAAGTCAGATAACGAGGACCTTCCGGCACGCATCACCCGCATCTGGTACATCAATCCTTACGGTCAGGAGATCCGGCCTCCTGCTAACCCGCGCGTGCTGGAAGCCCTTCGCGACGCGCAAGCTATCGTCTATAGCATCGGATCTCTTTACACATCCATAATCCCATCCATGATCCTCCGTGGCGCGGGGCAGAATATCGTCGCCAGTTCGGCACGGCATAAGATCCTCATTATCAACGGCAGCCTTGATCGCGAGACTGGACCGCCTGCGGAACCATTTACTGCAGTTGACTTTGTTGAAGCCATTACCCGCGCTGGCGAGGAGAGTCGCGGACGTGGGCCACTCGAGCTCCCTGTACCCCCAGCAACCTCGACGAATAGATTGCCCTACAGCTCCTACGTCACACACATCCTCCACCTTGAAGGCCCAGGAACACCACACGTAGACCGGGAGCGTCTTGCCAAAATGGGCATCGAGACTCTTCGTCTCTATGGACGCAAGGTCGTTGTAAAGGATGATAAAACAGGCGAGGAGGTGACGCTTGGGATGAAGTATGATCCAAAGGCGCTGGTGCAGGCTTTGGAAGTTGTGCTGGGGAAGAGAGGGGATGGGATACTTCGTGGGGCGGCGGGAAGTTGTTTGGGGAGGAGGAATACGCTGGATCCAGGGAGAAAGAGAGGAGAGGAGAAGCATGAGGGCTAGTTGAACAGCATTACATGATTCCTCATCTTATATCAATAATAATACAATTTCACACAAGATTTCTCTCAAATAAACATCAAATATGTGAATATTGCTTTATATGATTGCAACATCGTGAAAAAATTACTATATACACATCTATCTTTTCACTCGTAATATACAGCCACCCATGACACGCACTTTTGACCCGGACCTGACCGTAAAACAACGCCGTCCCAATGCTTTTAGACAACAGAAACACCGACAACATAGGAAAACTCAATCCGTTGGGACCGAGTCAAAAAAAAAAAAAAAAAGACCAAGAAAAATAAAAGAATTGTGAAAAGTTTGGAAGGGAAATAAAGAAAGAAAATCATGCACGAGCAGTTTGCTTAGGTTTCCAGGTACTCCGCTGGAAACTAACATGGGAATTCTTATTTCCATGCGGCGGAGGGTTGCGGAAATCATTATAAAGACCCGAGTTCACATCCATCAGTATGGCCCGTTGAGGGCCCGCTGCTTGAGGGATGGCTGGCGATTTGACGTTCGTCTTCGACGTCTTGGTACTAGTGGATGCAGTTGACAAGGCTTTGGCCTTCATGACCTCCTTGACGATGTCGCGAAGTTCGTTATCGTCCTTGGAAATCTGAGCGCGAATGAATGCTGGGTCATGTGTAGCCTGGAGAGACGACATGACGGACTCGCGAGGCGTGTAATCGTACTTCTCGGGATTGGGCGGCGAGTGAGGTATGATAGTCGGGTCGAGATACGCTTCCTCGTTCTTGCCCAAAAGTTGTAGAATGTCCAGGCTTTCGCCGTGGGGAATCTTGTGCGGATGCGAAGGGGTCACGCAATCCACGTCCACTTCTTTGCGCAGAACGTGGTCGATATCAATAGCGGAGAAATACGCGCAAGATTGTGGCAGGTCGTCAATACCAACCTGCTGCGAGAACATGGCTCGAGTCCAGACGTTGGCTACTTGCAAGGCTAGAGCAGCGCGGTACCGGTCTTCGTCTTTAACCATATACCGAATTTCGTCATGCACAGTGATTGCCAAGCGGGCTTCAATATTGTAACGCCGAATAAGATAGTCCATTCCAACGATCAGAAGATGAAGGTAATCAACACCAGAAGACTGGATTGCCCAGTTAATCCGAGATGTCATGAAGCTACCTTTGTTGATAAATCGTCGCATCAACGCCTCTGTTATTCCAGCGCCTAGAACCGGAGTCCTAGGCCGTTCCTGCTCTGCGAACTCTTCGAGTTTGTTGAAAACGAAAGATTCCGTACCTCCACGCCAGAAAGGACTCTCACTTAGAACGCGGCGAGTTGTTTTGGCACCTTTTGTTGCTTTATATAGGTCAGTTGCAACCTCCATGGTCTGCTTCTCAGGCATAGATGGATTGAATTGGCGGAGCAGGGTGGCAGCAAACTTAACACCAGCACCATAGATCCGGCCGTAGTTGAAGACCTTCGCATCATTCCGGGAGATACCAAGAATATTTGCAGTTCGAGAGTGCATATCAGTTCCAGCAGCCTTAGAGCCCTCCAAAGTCATGAAACCAATGGCATTGCCACCATGCAACTGGAATTGAGCATCGCCAACAAGGCTGGCAATCCATAGCTCTTGAGAATCAACATCCGCGCCGACAAAAGAGTAACCAGGCGGCGATTTGACCATAGCTTTGAGCTCAGACCCTACACGATTGCCTTTGGCGTTACTGGCAGTCAACCATGTGTTCTCCACTGCACGCCGTGTGATAGTGCCCATGGGAATGAGCTGGGGAAGGATGAAGCCCAACCGGTTATTTTGGTCCACTTGTGGTTTTCCAATCTGATCTTGGTAGACGACCATTTGATTCATGATCCGGTCTCGAGCACTGATCCAATACGAACAAGAGGCATTCATGTCAAGTGCTTCCTTGGCAAGAGCGTACTCCGAGGCCAGGGATCCCCGTTCAAAAAACTGCGCATAGCCCTTGGCCAGCGGGTTGGTGCACCGCGCTTGCGGTCCATCTTTATGCGGAAGTTTGAAGTATGTATGAGCCCTGTCCTCTCGCAGCTCCTGAACCTTCTCCTCAGTCATATCACAGGACACAACAGGCTGGTTTTCAAATTTCTTAACTTCTGCCCGAGGCACCTTGAAGGTCCATCCGTACTTATCGGACCATACCAGGGGGTAACCCTCCCATGAGAGTTTAAGAAGTATAGGAGCAATTCGTGTTCGTACCGACAAATTGATACCACCGGTGGTCTTCGGGTAAAGGTCTTTATACCATTTCGGCATCCCGGGCAGTTTTTGCCTTGCTGCCGGTCGTGGAGGGTCTCCCTTCTTTTTTCCTTTGGCCATTTTGATCTCTTGGCCAGACCAGTCCAGCTGACGTAGCCAAGGGTCATTCATGTAAATGTCTGATTTCTCCCTCAAACTCGCGGCTTCCTCACAGAGGTCAACAAGTCTCCGTCGAACATCGTCAAGTCGTTGATGGTAAACTGATTCAGCACTTTCGAGGTATTCGCCCCACGTCTGGTTGACAGGCAGAATCACCGAGGAAAGGTGCCTCAGAGCTGCGAAGCTGACTGGATGAGGACACACCTCAAGGTAATTCGGGAAAATCTTTTTATACACACGATGCGTGATGGCAACATCGGCTGCACAGTAGTCCAAGAGTTCTTGTAACCTGGACAGAATGCCGGGACGGTCAAGTTCGCCAAAATAGTCTCGCTGCGATTTGTCAATGGTAACATCGCAATGGAATTTGGCGACATCGCGTAGTGAATTGACAGAACTCCTTCCTACCCATAGTTCCTCTTCCTCATCACTGAGAACCTTGCTCTCAACCAGCGCAGCCAATTCAACAGAATTATGCTCACTGGCAATCTTGTCTCTCAGATCCTTGTTCTTCTTGTGGCGCATCCATGTCGGTCTTTGTTGAGAGCACATTCCATTCACAGCTACGTGAAGAGACATCGTATCGATAAAGAAGTTCTTGGTCTGTTTCAAATCGTATTCTTCCAATATCCGCGCTCGATCGAAACCGATATTGTGACCGATTATAATTCGAGGTTTTGATGGGTCACCCATTGGTATGAGGTGGATTGGATTCTCTGATTCTTCAAGCAACCATGGAGAAATCCACCCATACCAAGCTGTAGGACTCACGGCGCAAGCCATCACTGCGAACGAATGCTCTTTATACATGACTTCGGTATCGAACGTCATCATGTCTTCGTCTGGCGCTTCGGGGAATTCCACCGTGCCGTCACTATTGTATTTCGTCCACCCGCTGCGTCTAATCCATTCACGAGGTCTGCTGGGAGATGTCGTCGTCATGTATGTCTTCGCGAATTCTAGATAGGGTTCGGATGAGTCCATTCCCAGCCTAGAGAAATGTTCATCCAATGTATCGCCCCGTAAGGCCGGGAAATCGAAGGCAACTGGATCTGTGGCATTCTGTGACTTTCCAAGTAGATCGTGCCGCGAGAGATGCTCTTCTGACAATGCCACCAGTGCGGGATCCGGCGTTCTAGGTTTACCCGGGAAGATCTGGGGATAAACATATTCGCTTAACTGTTGCACACCAATTTCGTTAAACCTGGACGTGGTAGGGACTTCTGGAGTCAGTATCTGTCTAATTTCCTTGACAAATCCAGCATGGCGGAACATACCGGAAAGTGAATTCCGTCGCAAGTCCTTCCCATCCCGATTTGATGATGCGCGCTCTGTGGCGTAGAGTCGCGCAATTGATAGAGCAGACTGTGGTCGCAGAGAGAGAGGAAGTGACGAGCGCAATCTCTGGGGACAAGGACGGGCAACGCCCCTAACATAAGGCGCGCAAGTGAATTTCCAAAGCATGTTGTGATAGGTCCAACTGAATAATCAAATCCAGGGCATGATAGCGCAGAATATCGCAGCCAATGCTGCGCGGTATAAATGAGTGATGCAGACTGCTTGTTAATATATCGTCCGGCAGAGTTCTTTTTTCGATGTAGGAGATTATTCTAATCTGTGCGAGTTATCGCCGATGTCATACCTTGGAGCCACTGTTGATCCGCGCTAGCTGACCGCTTTCCACCTTTGTCCACTCTCTTATCGTCAGGTGACTTTTGTGATAACGATTTCCGCCGCCACCTTGGGATAAGCAGCGACAACAACTGTTGCTATTCTTTGAATGGCTTGAGCTCTTGTTGGCTAGAGGCCGGATATTGATCCTTTCATCTCTTTGATGTCGGGAATTTGAAATTGGGACTGATATCTGAAACTTTCGTTGAAATTACGATTACAGCAAACTAAATTGAACTGGTTACAAAATCAGGACTAAGCGAAACGCCTGTGATTGAATCAAACCACCAGTCATGAATCTTCAACATCACACCATTCATTCATCTTCGCCAATTCCTCCTCCTGCCCCCCAGCCCCCTCTTTTCCACTCCCGATCTATCAGACTCCCATCTTCGTCCCCTCCTCCTGCTTCTTCAAATATCCCCTCCGACTCAGAAGGTCGTGAAAGAAAGCGCCGGCGAACGATTCGTGGCGCAAATTCCGAGACCCCTGAGTTCATTGACTCCGAGGAAGAACAGCCGGTCGAATCAATCGACCTGACAGAAGTCGACAAACTTTCAGCTCTTGACAAAGCTTTGGCCAAGCAACGAGAGGATGCGGTCAAGGCTCAGAATGACAGAGACTCGGAGAAAGCGCGGTCATTACTGACTGCTTACAAATGTCCCGTGTGTATGGACACGCCGGAAGATGCGACAACCACGGTTTGCGGTATGCAACTATTGTAAGGTTATCATAAAAGGGTTCTAGCTAACCTTAGTCATCCTCAGGTCACCTCTTCTGCCATCGGTGCATCATCGATACTTTGAAATTTAGCGAGGAACAGCGGGCTGATTCTGCCACCAAAGGTCCCCGGGGGACATGTCCTGTGTGTCGGAAACCTCTGGCTCGGAGGGACGAAGCAGGGCCAAAGAGGAGCTTGATTCCCCTCCAACTTCAGCTCACGAAACGAAGTCGAACCGCAGTACCAGCGGATGCGTAGCAGCTTGGCTGCCAGGTGCTGGATCTTTGGGCCTGAGATCTTCGTACCGCAGCAGCTACGTCGACCTGACGTTTACTCGGAAAGTATTTTAGTCTTCGTCTCATTTACCGTGTCCTCGAGCTCTACCTTCACAGACACAAGGCTCAACTAAATGTGTCATTGTAACAGTCATGTCGCATATAGCACGCCTACTTTGTTTTCTTTCTGATGTGTGCTACCACGACGGTGCACACCGCCTGTGGGAAAGATTCCGCCGACGATGCCTAGACTCGCTGCGATATATCTGTCTGTACAACAAACGCAACCTTTCCTGGCTCACAAGCTGTGAAAGAGATATGCTGACCTAGTTCGCTACTGAGATCGTCGACTCACAGAATTGCCCGCGCCTCAGCCTGCCGGCGGAAAGATGGATGAATATTTGGTCCATTTGTTATTTTCTTCATTCGGGAAGATGAGGCATCAATATCTTATTGCATGATATGTTTTGTCTGTACGAGTTACATTCCTGTCTAGACCTGGTCTCGTTTTGAAAGGAGATTTTCGGGCATTTGGAATAATGCTCAAAGAATTGGAACATGTATACACGCTCTTACCTTGACTTATGTATAATGCATCACATATTCGACAAGCGCAATGATAGATAACGTGACCCACATGCGAATGTCACACACGGGCGAATGTCACACGAAATTGCTCCGACGCGACTTCTGACTTCTATCACAAATATCACCACAACCAAATATGCGTCAGAAAAATGATGAAAGCCAAGTAATATTGGCCCTTCAAGCTATGCAAAATGACAAAAAACTGAGCGCTCGAGCAGCTGGAAAGATCTATCACGTGGATCATGAGAAGCTTAGTCGCCGCCGGCGTGGCATGCAATCACGATGCAATATATCAGCCAATTCACGAAGGCTCATTGATTTAGAGGAATCAACGATTGTTGAACACATACTTGATCTAGATTCCAAAGGGTTTCCTCCTCGGTTGTCTGGTGTGGAAGATATGGCCAACCGATTACTTGCAACACGCAACATGGGATGTGTTGGTGTAAACTGGGCCAGCACCTTTGTTAAACGGCACCCAGAGCTCACAACTCGTTTTAGTCGGAAATATGACTATCAGAGAGCTTTATGTGAAGATCCAGAGGCTATCCATCGTTGGTTCATGCTTGTTCAAAACATAATCGCGAAGTACGG